CAGAATTTACCGTCTATATTGTTGCACAATTGATTTTGGTGGCCCGCAATTGAGTTAAAGTCAGATGACGGGTCAGTCTGTATATAAAATATATGTGGGTGTAACTAATGCTGATCATTTCTTAAAATTGAATACCCGCTATGTTACGTATCACGAATTAATAGTTAATTTCAGTGTAACATAATTTGAAATTTTGCCGCTGATCGACAAAGTGAGATGACTCGAGCTGTACTGGTTATACAGAAATGTTTTTGCTGCGTCTCGTTCGTTTATAATCAAATAATTTTTAAAAATGTCTAGCGCAGATCGTAAAATTTTAATACTTTATGGTAGTCAAACTGGTTTTGCACAAGATGTTGCTGAAAGAATCACAAGACAAGCAAAAAGAAGACATTTTAGAGCAAGAAATTTTGCAATGGACTCATACAATAGGGTAAAGATTGATAGTATAATAAATAAATAGTATTATATTTAAAAAGTAGATAAAAGTGGTGATATAATAAATATATATGTATATAGCTCATTATTCAAAAAAAAAAAACCCCCCATAAAATCTCACTCAGGATAATTTGATCAATGAAGAATTGGTGATTTTTGTGTGTTCAACTACTGGACAGGGCGATGAGCCTGATAATATGAAAGTAAGTTTATTAATATTTGATTTGATTTCTTCAACTAATCAATAATATGAAAAAATAATTTTTTTTTGATATAGAAATTCTGGAAATTTTTATTAAGAAAAAATTTACCAAAAGATATTTTGAATCAAATGAAATTCACGGTTTTTGGTCTTGGTGATTCATCATATGTCAAATATAATTGGCCAGCAAAAAAACTTTATAAGCGACTCTTACAATTAGGAGCTGAAAGTATTTATCCTCGTGGTGAAGGTGATGATCAACATTACCTTGGGTTAGTTATTTGGTTATTAAGTTAATTATGAGTGATGATTTATATATAGATATACATGCTAATTTTTCATGTGTTCATTTTGATAATAATAATAATATCATTATTCATTTTTTTATTAATTAAAAAAAATTTAGTATTGATGGAATGCTTGATCCTTGGTTGAGAGGATTGTGGAAAGTATTAATGGACCTATATCCATTACCACCTAATCTCAAGATTATACCCGATGACGTATTATATCCTTATTTGATTATATATAAAGAGAGTGATCGAGTTATTCTAATGATATTATTAATATTATTATCCTTAACTTTAAAAAAAATTTGTTTTTTTATACGCTAGAACCAAGTTTTCTATTAAAATTTATTAATCATAAAATTGAACAAAATGGAAAAAAAAACAACAACAACAACAATTATAATAATAAGGATGATGGTGGTGTGAATAGAAGTAGTGCACATAATAATAATGATAATAATGATAACAGCAAAAATTTGATTTTGACTCGTCTGATTAAAAATGAACGGATCACAGCCAATGACCATTTTCAAGATGTTCGTCATATTGAATTAGAAGTTAATGATTCGGAATTAAAGTGGGCTTTTATATATATACATATTAAACAATGATTAGAATGGGCATTAAAAGTTTTATTTATCTGTTATATTATATATATATTAATTTAAGGTATCAACCAGGTGATGTTGTGATTATTCATCCAAAGAATTCGGTTAAAGAAGTGGATGAATTCATTAAAATGATGGATTGGTCTGATATTGCAGATGATCCTTTTATTCTGATTCCTAATGATGAAGGTGAATTTTTTTTTTTTATGAAGATTGCAAGGAGAAAAAAAGAATTGAATAATTGATAATTTAATTTATTTCATTTTATAATTTTTTTTAAAAAATTCAGATAAAATAATACCTTCACATTGGGGCACATCTCTGACATTAAGAAAAATGTTTGAAGAATATTTAGACATATTTAGTACACCGCGTAGATCATTCTTTGAATTCCTATCATTTTTTACTACAGATGCGGATCACACTGAAAAATTAAAAGAGTTTTGTAGTGCTGAAGGACAGGTAATGATGTCTCATTTAACATATATATCATTATTAATGGTTTTATTTATTAATTACTTTTTTGGGGATAAAGGATGATTTGTATGCATATAGTCAACGTGTTCGCAGGACAATAGTAGAAGTGCTTTATGATTTTTCATCAGCAAAAATACCAATTGATTATATACCTGATATATTTCCAGAATTACTACCTAGACAATTTTCCATCTCATCATCATTAAAATTTCACCCAAAGAAAATTCATTTAACAGTTGCCGTTGTCAATTATAAAACTAGATTGCAGAAACCACGTCAAGGTGTCTGTACTAAATGGCTATCCACTTTGGAATTGGGTATTAATATTATTGTAAATAATAAAATTTTTTTTGGAATTTGTGTTTAATTTGTTTTTCAATAAAAAAAGAAACGCTGATTCCAATTAGAATTACACGTGGTACCATGCGGTTACCTACTTCGATATCAACACCAATAATCTTGATAGGACCAGGTGAATATTAATGATATTATTATTTTTTAAAAAAAATTTTTTAAATAGTAATAATATTATCATCATTGTTTAATTAATTAGGTACTGGAATAGCAGTCATGCGAACATTTTTGCAAGAACGGATATCTGAAGGAGCGACAGGTAAGAAAATAATAATAATATTGAAAAGAAAAAGTTAAAAAATTTGATGTAAACTTGAGGTTGATTGACTAATGTTTATATATTTATTATATTTATATGTATGCGCGTAAAATGAATTAGAGAATTATTTAATTTTTGGTTGTAGAAATCGCGAAAAAGATTATTATTATAAAGAGGAATGGAAACAATATGTTGATAATAATCAATTGAAAAAAATATTTGTAGCATTCTCTAGAGATCAGGTAATCATTCACTTATTTACTCAATCAATTATTCATAATTCAAATTCAAATATGTTTACCACCACACTAACAAAACAACTAATTTTTTTTAAAAAACAATTTTTATAAGGATAAAAAAGTATATGTCCAAGATATTATCAGAGAGAACTCCCAATTATTTTGGGAGATTGTGTATGAACGTGAAGGATATATTTATCTGTCCGGGTAAGTAAATATATAAAATAGAAAATTTATTATTTTGGGGTTAACTAACTAATTAATTAATTAAATAGACGATCTGAAAAAATGCCAAATGATGTGATGAATGCATTCAAATATGTATTCATGACTGAAGGCGGGATGACAGAAGATCAAGCTACAAAATATATTGCTTTACTTGAAAAAAATCGTAGATATCAACAAGAAGTTTGGTAATGCAGTATTAATAGAGTAGTAGTAATATTGACGGTAATGTTGACAGTAATATGATAATAATAATTAACATAAGAAAGAAATTGTTATAAGCAATGTTTTGAATGATTATCATTTGAATAATTTTTTGTTGGTTTTGTAAAACGATTACATTCTATGCTATTCCTATTCATGAGCTTCTCAAAAAAATTCATTTTGAATTTTTATTATTAACTAGTATGCGAAGCTTGGTTTTAAATGATACCAATTGTTTTGCATGTGTGTGGAGCATACTGCAACAAAGTGAACATTTGCATTACCGGATAATCGGTCATTCATCGAATATCTGCCGAATGTCCACTGAATATCCGTTGAAATACTCTTTGATTTAAATTTATTTAAAATATAACGATAAATAAATTTAATAGAATCCTTTCAAATAACGATGTATTCAATTTTGTTCGTTTGGCTGCCAGCTTCATTAAATAGACGTTCACTTGGAGTAGAAGTTGCTGCGATGCATAAATATTTTTTAGCTAACGATGACACAGTTGGGTATTTATATTACTTGATATATTATATTGTTATAATAGAAGGAGTGTTGATAATAGTGTAATAGTGGATAAAATAGTATTTACATGTATTAAAAAAAATTTCGAATATTCACTAATTATCCGGTGAAAATTTTTCGGTGAATAATAATAATAATCGGTAAATATTGTTGATAAAAATAAAATAGATAAACAGAAAAAAAGATCCAATGAATTGTTAGATATTGATTACTCAAGAAATCTTCGAGAGAAACTTCATCAATTGCTTGATGAAACTGGTGAATCTACCCCAGTTAGTTGATAGAGCTGATATTAGTGCCACCAAAGAGAATATCATCATCATAATGAATTGAAATAATTCTACCTTTGCATCAAAGATCAAGTCATGGTAGGGTTTCTGTACAAATAAGAATTATTTGTTTTATTCATTATTTTATGAAGCTGAGTATTCAAATTATATTGAATATTGTGAGTGTGCAATCTGAGTTGCTTACTAAATCTTGCACACAGCCTAGATCATGGCCAAAAAGGGTCTTTTGCATCTGACACAGTCCAAATAGTCAAACTAACCCATAAATAACTATGCTATTTGAGGTATCCTTACAAGCAATACAGAACACAGTACAATCAAAAGAGTTCCTAACTAATAATTAAAGGTTAGCCAAACCATTAGTCATTAGAAAGGATTAAGAATCAATCACACTGTCTTTATTAATTAATTACAGTCAAAGACTATTTTATGTAAAAATGTTTTTATTATCAAAGTGTCAAAGGTGAACTGGTTAATTAATTAGTTATTAATGATGATTAATTATTCTTAAGCAATTTCTAATTGTTTAAACATTGCATGTAACATGACTTTTTACATTACGTCTGGATATAAAAGGAAATGGCTGACAATAATCAGGGCCCCAGGTCAGTTCCAATTTACTATCTATCTCAGTATTTATTCAAGTAAAATGGATAAAACAAATTGAACATTTGTAATTTAACATCTCTTGAAAATAGACAATTCCTTCTAAAAGATTAATTTTTTCAACTTAACATCAACATGCTATTTTTGTAATATAAATAAATATTTTTGTCTCATCTTTTTAAATATATAATAGCCCAAATATCATACAACAAAAAAATTATTGAATGTGCATATTTGACATCCAAATTTCAAATGGAAAAAAATGACAATTGTGGGAGGTTATTACCTTTATATATAATATCACTATTAAATATAACTAATTAATTATCTATAATTTCATTTCTCAAGATAAAATAAATAATAAATAATTTAAATACATAATAAAATGATAAAATTTAACTTATTCAAGTAATCCATCTGGTATAGTTAATTCAATTTGCATAGAATCTACAAATATTTATCAAGAGATATTAATAAATTATAATTTTAAAAATTAATAAAAAATGAAAATAATCAATGAACAATTACCATTGTTATTACCAATAATTGTCACTTTATTGGAATTCACAGGCTGGGGAAGGCTTGTAAATTTTAATAATCTGCTAGTGTAAACAGCATTTGGATGAATTGTTGCAGTAATTGTTGAAGGATCAAATTTTATTTTATCCATTTCCTTAAATTCTAATGAATTAAACCAATCACGAATAATCTTACAAATTTCTACAGCAGTTGGACGTTTATCTGGATTAGCATCCATGCATCTGAATGCTAGTTCAATATAGAATTTTGGTGTGTTGTTTGAAAATCCTGGTCTTACACCTTCACATATTTTCATTGCAAGATCTAGGTCATGTGCCAAATTATTAAAAGGTTGTTGACCAGTTGATATTACAGACATCAGAATTCCAAAACTATATATATCTGATGCCATTGTATATGGCCTCCCTTTTAAAACTTCTGGTGCAACATATGGTAACACTCCAAATATATCGCTTTTGTTTGATGATGATATTTGACTAGCCGGGCATGATAATCCTAAATCTGTAATGTATGAATATGTAGATTGAAGAATATTACCACTGTGAAGATCACGGTGAATAATTTCTTTTTCATGAATATCTTTTAAACCAATAATAATATTATAAAGAATAGTAATTTTCTGCTCCCATTTTATATTTTTAAAATCTTTAGTTAAATAATTTTGAAGACTTCCATTTTCTATATATTTCATTATAAATATATATTCTTTTGTAATTGGATCTTGTGTTAACCCATAAATATAAATTATAGATGGATTACGGAACTTTAAACAATTTTTGAACTAAAATAACAAATAAAATATTTAATTACAATAATAATATTAAAAAATCTGAAACTAATATTAATAAAATAACTTACCTCGTTAAGAAATTCATCGGAAATATTTTGTGAATTATGTAGTTTTTTTAATGCCACAGTCTTATTACCATTTAACCAAGTAGCTTTGTATATAGTTGCAAAACCACCTTCACCTATCTTTTCAATATTTGTTAAATCATCATAAGGAATCCATTGTGTACTTTTAATCAACTCGTTTAATGTTTCATTGCCACTAGTCCATTCTTCAGTTAATAGCTTTGGATCACACGACTGACACCATGAATATGAAGTATTATATCTATTGCAAGTTGAACATTCTCCATAATATTCTTTTCTTTTCTTTGAATATTCATCATTATTTTTATCTAAAGTGTTCTCCATCTTCAAAAATTAATTTTTTTGTTTTTATTTTTAGCCGCAAGTTTATATAAACACAAAAAACACAAAGTATATTAATATTTATGATTTGTGTACATTTCGGCATTGTGTAAATAAATTTGTCATGACACCCCAGTCATAAGCCGTAATGTAATTCGAATACTCAAATTCGTAACAAATAAAACAAATAATAAATCTTATTCAAATAGAAACCCTATCTAGAGTCTGGGCCGCGATCCTATCCTTTGATTAGACTGGAGGTCTTTGGGCCGGACCGTAAATACTAATACTAATACTAATGATTGATTGCAACCATAAAAAAAAAAAATATAAAATTGGATGTAACACCAATTTTCAATTTCCATGGTAACGTGACATACGTAACAACAAAAATGAAATCGTGGTTTTGGAAGAATTTAAGGGATATATACAGCCAATAAAAAGTTTAGTAAAGTGACTTATGATAACGAGATTCAACTGTGATTAATTACTTTTTTCTATATTATTTATATATAGAATAAAACACGACACAGTATATTACAATCTACTCTAAATTTAAAGATTTTGGATTTTTCTTTCCCAAATCTACACACACACAGATATATACAATTATTAAAAAAATCATTGATACAAAAAAAGGAACATCAATATTATATATGAAGATTAAAATCAAAAAAATACCTGAATATAACTTTCAGATAAAAAGATCATTTGTGCATTAATCTCTTCCACAATCAAATCTTGAATTTGATACCATTGTTCTTTACCACGATGTTGAACATGTACTTTATAAATCCCATTACTTTTACCTGCTTTGCCTTCATGGCATATATTTGCTATTAAATCATAATGTGTGTCTAACATTTCTGATTCTGGATTTTCAAGAACTAAAAATAACAAATAGATAATTAATTGATTAAAAGCATAAAATAATCAATGAATGACAAGGAATAGTTTTCAATAATGGAATGCATACTTACAATCTTTCATATCAATGTTTTTAATAGGAAAGTTTACAATTGTGGGATTTTTCTCAAGATCCCAATTATTTTTTGTGAAACGTTTAATATGGAAAATTAAGTAATTAGGCAAACTAATCAATTGAAATCTTTTTAAAGCACCTGCTGATTCCTGTTATATATATGATTTTTCTTTAAGTATAAGTAAATGCTGCATACATGCATGTGAAATTATAAATTCATTAAAATTAATTTGAAAATTGAAATTAACCAGAGTTGTTCTACCGTCATATTTTTGAAGCACTGTTGATAATGCAACCTAAAATATATATATTATATTATTGAATACACACTCTCTATATAATAAATATAAATCAATTATTTACTTGAGGAATGATATTTTTCTCGACTTCATCCTGAAATAAAGGTGGTGGTGGTAAATCCAATGTTAAAAACAAAAATCGTGTCCTTTTTAAAGATATTTCTTTTTTTTATAATTGAAAAAAAAATTAATATAAATTTTAACAAATAATAATAATTAATATATATAAGTAATGGAGTTTCACCTCTATCAACATCAAATAATTGACGATTCTTTTCATCAGTATTATCTTTTGTAATTATGAATTGAGATTCTACCTTTACTTCTCCTTGAAATATCTTATATATTATACTTGAATCTGATTTCTTGGTACCACATAAGTCTTTATGTAATGTATTAAGAAACCAAGATAGAAAATCAAGAGGATCTGTTTGTTCTGCAAGTTTGAATCGTTTATTACTTGCATTTGATATTTCTTGTAATAATTCATGAGGACTAACTTGTCCTTTAAATGCTCTTGGATTCCATATTTTTTTAACAAGTGTACTAAATCTTTGAACTAATAATATACAAATGAGTGGAAAGATTATAAAAAGATTTTTGCATGTAAGTAAATTAAGTAAGTGAATAGTTACCTAATTGAGATTTATTTTCAAAGTTTTGCAACATAAAGTAATCTCTAAGTGGGGGAATATGTGCTAATGCTTGTATTATTACATTAACATAGTCATTAGCTTTTACATTATTCAACCCAACAAAACCTATAATTTTTTTTTTTCGATATAAAGTAAATATATAATTCCCCTCAAAAAATTAACAATAATGCTTATAATTGATAATTAATTACCAGGTAAATATTTTTTATTATTTAAATCATATGAATGTTTAATATTTTGATCCAATTGTGCAACTTGTTCTTTTGTAAACGTCGGATATAAAACATACTAACCTCGTACATTTTAATAATAATAAAAAACTAATTAGCATATAAAAAAAGAAAAGAATTTGAAATGAACCAACCACATTAATTGTTATTATTATCATTTAATAAAAACATATTTTTTTAAAAATATAGATACCTTGATATCATCTAGTGATGAATCTTTGACTTCATATCCATCAGGTAATACATATACCTATATATATGTTAAACAATCATTAATTTCATTAATTTACAAAAAAAATTTCTACCCATGTATATAAAATTTAATACTAACTTTGAGAGTATGTAAATTAATAAAAACATGGTGATCTTCATGTAAACTATGGAAATAAGCATGTGAATTACGACCTCGTCCTAAATAAAATATTTATACAGTTATTTTAAGCAATGCAGTTGTATGTTTTTCAATTATATTACATTACCTTGAAAATATTTGCCACATACTAAACAGGCATAAACATTTAGATTTGACAAAGAAACTGAACATACTTTTTCAAAATCAAAATCTAACATGTGTCGATTTATCTAATAAACAAATAATTAATTAAAAGAATCCTTGAAAAATAGATATATAACAAAAAACCTACAGTATCCAAGTAAAGATCACTTGAATTATTACTATTTTTGCTTTCTTGAAGGCGAATTTTTTTAGAGTCTGGCTCTCTGTCAACAAAAGTATCAACATTTTGAGTTTCTAAATCACGTTTTGCATGGTTGGATTTATCATCATCTCGAGTCATTTTTGTAAAAAAAAAAAAAAATTTTTGTGGAACCGAATTTTTATTTACACACATTATTATTATGAAAACGTAAAATTTCGTTAGTAATCTTGTTTTAACGAATTTCGAATATGTATATGTCTAGCCATTTTGTTGTAACATGTACAAAGAGTTCCAACATTCATTATTTCATGAATAGCTGGTCACCTAATAAAAGTAAAATTCAAATTTAAATATTATTGAAAAATATTACAAATTTAGCAGATCCTACACAGCGGTTTTTAATATATCAATTTTGAAAAAGCGTCGAACTACTAATGCATAACTATTACAACTCATAAATATTTATCACTATATAGCAATACTATAAAGATTCTAATCTCTTAACTCGAATACTCAAGTTCATAAAGAATAAATCAAATTATCGCAACTATTGATTTTTTTTCTCTAAAAGATATAATTTATATTGCCATGATTGTAAGTAATTCATCAATCACGAAAGAAGAGTCAAAAACTCGATCCTCCGCATCACAAAATCACTCTGATTATAATAAGTTGCATGAGAGCTCAGAAAGCTCGAAAGGGAGATTAGAAAAGATATAGTTGAGTCGATAAGCTAAAGCCCAAACGTGATACATCTGAATCCAAATCCTCTGAATCAAGCAAATCCGATTTTGTGTCTGACAATCCAGAGAATCAGGCCTTGGTTTCTTCTCCCAGTTTGTCAATAATCATAAATGTTAAACGTAGTTGGGAGAAAATTGTAAAGTAAGTTCAAATTTTGCGAATAATTATTTTTTCGGTCACGGTATACTCAATTAGATAGATTCGCCATATACACAGCATGACTGATTCGAAAAAATTCATATTACCAACACAAGCCGATCGATTTGTGAAGGATTATTTCAAAATAATAAAATTGAATGTGGGTTTAGGACTAAATAACAAAGACCTTAAAGAAACATTCTTCGGCCTATCACTAGATAATAGAAAATATTCGGATTTAACAAACCCCTGGATAAACTGGTGGAACACTTGCTTGTATATAATCTCTATACCTTCCACCGATATGCAAAAGTTTCGTTTGGGGGAATTTGTTCAAGGCAATGACTCTGTAATAGGCTGCAATAGACTTTTAAAAAATGCAATACAATAAAATGCCAACAAAACTCTAATGTAATCCTAACGTAATAAACATCCACAGGGTTATTATATGTAATAAATTTTTTTAGTATAATTAAGACTGAAATAAAAAAAACGCGCGAATCCAGCCAATAAATTGTAGATTATGTTACACTTGCCACATGCGTTACAGGTCGTCTGCTACAAAAATATAAAGATGTTCAGCGCATTCATAATATAAAAATAAAATCACAATAAACAAATAAGGATGTTAACGGTCCGGTCCAGACTGAATGGACTGCGGACCGAGTCGGTCTGGTCTTAGGTATCAAAGACCGTTTGAACCGTTGAACCTTTTTGTTAAAAATATTATTTTATTATCGTAACTCAATTCCAATTATTAATATATTCAAAAGAACTAATTAATAATATATCATTTGTTTCAGAACAAGAATCTTTATTTGAAGGACATTACCTTACGGGGATTAGGTATATGAATCTTGAAACTATGCAACAAAACACAAAGGAACACGACCAGAGACATAACAATACCTGAAGACTTATCTTGTTCAAATTGTTAACTGTTGGTCGAAACTTTTCAACACAATTTCTAATCTTTTGGGCTGGATACGAGAGACACACCAAGCAATAGACTGCACATCACATGCCATCTACACTTGTTGCTAGAACAAGACCTAATCGGTTGAGACAACTCTCTTTGATATTGTTAGTTAGTATTAGATATAGGGAATACCCAGAAGATCCAACTACACTATGCCAGAACAACCACAAAATGAAGGTAGTGATAACCTAGACAGTGACTCTGAAGGATCGACCAACTTTTTAACCAACCAATAAATCAAAACCAAATAACAAATCATTGTTTATAAAAAAAATTTATAAACAAATATTATAATCATTACAAATTTGGTTTTTTATTATTATATTATTATAATGGTATAATGTGACAAATATTCTACTATATAGTCCAAATAATATTACTAATTCTTTTTTTTTAAGAGGATTCTTTATAAACAAATAATTATTCAATTCTAAATGTATCGCTGAATAACCACAGAGTTAAGAAGTGATGCATCTTCTAAAGTTTGTGATCCGTCATTTAAATCATTTACTGGAAATGATGTTTGTAATATATAATTTCGTTGTGCTTCTCCAACTCGTGAGCTATTAAGAAAAATTTTATTTGAAGAGAAAATTCAATTAATTGGTTGTTTGATTGATTTTGAAATGGAATGAACCAACTCACGCATTAATAAAATTTCGAATATCATTAACAGTATGTGTGTGATTAAACCTAGCAAGCATCCTAACAATCAAAAACAAATTTTTAATGATTTACATTACAACAAACAAAGTGACATGAGCAACAAAACAACAATAATAAGATACCTTGTTCCATCTGCTAAACGTATTTGAAGTGATGTGATTGGCAGTGACTCGTCAACTTCAAATTCTCGTATACTTTGTGTTGTGTTAGTAGTAGTAGCATCAGCAGTAGCAGTACCAGAATTTAAAATGTCAGTTTCGGCACTTTGACTGGAAACAACAACTGGTGTTATACTATTTTGCATATACATATATATATAAATGAAAACATAAATACACACACACACATATATAAATATATATATATATATATATTAAAAAAAAGATACCGACCTGCCAAGTCTTTGTCCAGATCCAGAAAATGGTCTGGTAGGTTTCTTTGGTGGTGGTTTGTAATCTTCATCTAATCTACGTGAAACTCGTACATCGACTGGTTGATTTTGACTAACATTTAGTAATGACAAGGGGGCACGCCTTATATATATATTATTATGATGATATTTAATATTTTTTATGAATTTGTGGTTTACAATTAACAAATAATAATCTATAATTATATAAATAATATACCCGCTTCTAATAGCTTTCAAAAATTCTTGATTTTCTGGATCATCATAAGCCATTAAAGGACCATCTTCAACGCTAAAACCATTCCTCCAGAAAGTTAAATGACGAACCTACAAAAAAATTTTATTATTAAATAATACTCGATATATACATACATATATACACACACACGCAACACATACAGTTGTAACTGGTTCTTCTTCTTCAGTGTTGTTGTCAGAAGAAGTGCCTGGAATAATAGTTGATGGCTCTTCATCACTTCCAAGTTTATAGCCTATATAATTATGTTTATTATTCAATAATAATGATAACAACAACAAACAACAACAACAATAATAATAACGAGATTTAAATGATAAACTGACCTGGTCCGGTGAAAACTTGAGAAGAAGTAGAAGATGACGCAGCAACTTCAGGTTCTTCTGTATGAGCACGACTACCTCTAATTTATCAATGAGCCGAATCATATCAATTAATATATATATATATATATATATATATTAAATAAATAATCCTATTACAATTTTTCCTTTTATACTTACTCTGTGGCTTTTTTCAAAATATCGGTAACTAAAGAACTTGCTTGTTTGATTGGCTTTGCGTTTGGATTTTGCATAAAAATTCCACTATAATATAAATTAATATAAATTAAACCTAAATTGATTAATTGATGACGATATGTGTATATGTAGAAGTGATAACTTACGATTTTTCTCCACCAGCAAATAAGTTTTTATTTTCATCATCTTCATCATCATCTTCATCCATTGGTTCATTCTCAAGATCATGTATAGTAGCAAATCGTGAACTAGTAATAATAAAAATAATTAATCAATCGATTAATCAAATAATGATATATTTTTTTAATAATATTTATATGTAAAAAAAACCTATTTCTTGAGGAGCTTGAAGGATTATTTTGTGTAGAAGAAGAAGCTTGAGACTCTTGTTGATTTGATCCAAAAGCAGTATTTGTTGCTTGGTCTATATCACTACTACTACTAGGCGGAGGGTTTTCATAATAAGCGGTTAAAGCACCCTTAAAAAATAGAAAAATAACAACATATATAAGTATATATGTATGATCTTTGTAACTTTTTAATATTTAATAAATTTCAATTAATTACAGCTAAATCCCAATTATTAGCTTCTAAATAGAATTGAGCTAATTGTTCATTACAATTAACTATACTCCTAAATTCGGAAATTAAACTAGCGTGTTCTACCATATTTGCTTATTTCTTTATTCTTTCTTTTTTTTCTCTTTGTATTATAATTATTATATATTTGAGAGAAAGTAAAAGTAAAAGAAAATAAAACCAACTGGTTGTGTTTTACTTATAAAAAACTTGCGTACACAGAAATAAATAATTTTGTTTTTTTAGAAAATGGGATTTTTTTTAAGATTTAGATAAATAAAATTACACGAATCTGATCAACAGTTACGTATTTATTTGCATAATGACAATGTCATATGACATTTGAATATTTTTTATTTTAACGTTTCTTGTAAACACAAGGTTTTAATAAATTATCCAAAATTTCTGAATTTAACAATTCCTTTGAATCTTTTGATTTATTATTATTAGGTTTATTATTATTATTATATTTAATAAAATCAAATAAAATAAACATCTTATCTGAGTCATCCTGTGTGAAAGAGGAAGGAAGGGGTGGAAAAGAACAAGTAAATGAGTAAAAAAAATTATTATATAATATCAAATAGTAAATATTACAATGACAATGATATAACTAATTAATATAATTAATATAATTTCTTTTACCTTTCTAATGAACTCAAATCCAATTTCAGTTAAAACTTTAATAAATGAATTAATATCTGTAAATCTACTAACAACTTCAGCAACCTTTAATTCACCTCTAAATAATATAATAATAATAAGCAAATATAAATAATTTCTATTATTTATATATATTATATAAAACTTTACTTTGGTTTTAATACACGATGTGCTTCTTTCAAGAATTCAATATAATTTGTTCCCATTAATGATAAAGAAAATATAACTATATCAAAAAAAGAATCTGGAATTGGGAGCTAAATAAATAAATAAATATAAATAGACATTATATAACATTAATTCGTACCACTAAAGGCATTAATTAAATACCTTTGCAATATCACAAACAATAATTTTATCATTTTTAGCAACAAAATCGAAAGATAGGATTTTATTTGGAGCCTCTTTAGCAATCTTTGCTTCTCCACATCCTAAATCTGCTACTATTAAATTTTTAGGTTTTTGTTTCAAATACTCAATAAATATATCAACTGGATTATTAGGCCATGATTCAACTACTGAACTAAATCCCTCATGATACTGATAATATAATAATATTATGCATAATATTTAATATATTATGATTATGATTATATTTAGATTTTTTAAATTAGGTTTTTTACCTCATCAAATAATTTTGAATTGTTTTTAAATAATTCAAATGCTGAAGTACTTGTCTTATTATAAAGTTGTTCATTCAACCATCGAAATTTGCTTTCTAATAAATTCATCCTGGCTTTTTGTTGTAATGAAACATTTTTTTTTGATGATGGTGATGATTTGCCCTTCTTTTCTTCTTCCTTTATTTGTAATTTTAATTTTTTTAATTGTGATTGTTGTGAATTTGATGATTCTCTTTTCTTCTTGTTGTTATTATTGGAGCTACTGGTATTGTTCATATTACTACTACTGTTACCGACTTCTTCTCTACCATCCAACTCTTTCTTACCATTAGTTGTTATTGTTGTTGCATTTAAATTTTTTTTATTGTCCAATTTTATTTTATCTTTTTTTAAATTCCTAATTTTGGAATTTTTGATGTTTTTTAAATTGTTGTTATTGTTATTATTATTTTTATCGTTATTATCATTATCTAAATTATTGTTATCATCAAACTTTTTATCTACATTTTTCACCTTTTCATCATATGATTTCTTTTTCTTGTCTTTTGAAATTTTATTTTTGCGATGCTTACGTTTACTATTATTTTTATTGGTTTCAGGTTTTTGAGTTATTAACTCTCCAAGATTCCAATCAGGAACTTCAAATAGAGACATTTTTTTATTTTTTTTTAAAGATGATCAATGTGACGATTATGAATGTCGATCAAAGTCACATTCTATGTGAGGTACTTTTTCTGCTTGTTGATCTTACTAAATTAAGTAAAAATCTACTACTAATTGCTTAATTTGGTAATATAATTACTTGGTTTGGTGGGATCAACGCTACTATGTGAGGTACTTTTCTGCTTGCTGCTCCCCATATATTCAGAATTCAGTTTTGGGGTTGTGTAGATCATTTATTATTTGCACAATTTCCCGTTTTTAAGACCAATTATTATTATTATCATTGTTGCTATGTGATTAGTAACGTGATGTAATTGAAATTTTTTATCTCTTTTTCAAAACAATGTCTCAACAACATTCTGTTGAAAAAACTGATGTATTATTCATTAATAATAATAAGGGGTTTTCAGGGAGCATAGATTTTAACACAACAAAGATTCGTCTTCAAGATGCACTTAAAACTACATCAGTAAGAATTAATTTAGATTATTTGGAGGGTTTTAAAAAATAACTAAATCTAAATATACAATTTGTATATATATATTTTAGTATGAGCATTCAGAAAGAGTATTTCGAGATATTGATGCAACTTTTGTTACATTCAAAGCATTAACTCAACTCAAAATGGAAACATATAGTAAGTTTCAAAAAAATATTTATTTGATTTGAGATATTGTTTATCCTGTTATTCTGAACGAAAAAAAGAGCTGGCTTGTTTTTGATTAATTTTTTTTAGTCTTGTTGGATTAGATTAAATATAATTAAAAAAAAAAAAACAGATTATATACAAAAATATTTAATGAAAAGTAGTTATAGTATTAGTATTATTGTTATTATTATTACATTGGTTGCTTTATAAGTGAGTCAAAGTCAATAATAATAATAATTGGGTGGTCAAATCAATTCTTGGTTGGTATAATGCAAGACCATTGTATTTGAGCTGCTAAAATCATAAACAGGACATACAAATATTATTTTAATAAAATTCTCACAATAGACATTGTGATCTCCTCAATTTGATTCATCCACACAAGCCCACAATGATGGTAGAACTCAATTCTTATTATGTCTTTATGGAACTATTCCAATTACATATCGGTCAACATCTTACAATATTCCTATCGCACTATGGATTCCAACTGAATACCCAAAGACTGCACCTTTTGCTTTCGTAGTCCCCACACCTAATATGCTGGTAATGCCTTCTCAATATATTGATGTAAGTGGTAGATGTCATCACCCATATTTACAAAATTGGGGAAATCAAAACGAGGTTTGTTATAAATTTTTTTTTAAAATTTTCTTTTTGGTATATAAAAATTATCTCCAATTTTTTTATTCCTTTTTCATATAGGAACCAAATATTGTTACATTTTGTTCAATTCTACAAGCAGTATTTAGTCAAACTCCACCGGTAGTTACAAAACTCGCAACACCACAACATTCTACACATCCTCCTCCTTTACCTAAATCTCCAAATCTATCACCTGCATTACTACAATCTAGAAATCACAGCTACAGTGTGCCACCACCTGTTTTTCCTTTCCTTCCTCAACAATATAATTTTTCAGTAAGATTAATATTATATATATATATATATATTTGGGGTTTGAAAGTACAAAAAAATACAAAAACAAATTTAAAACTCATACTAATCAATTAATATAAATATATTTAAGCCATCAATATCTGGTCAGCGGACACTCCAACCATTTCCACCACCACTTTCTTTAGAACCACAACCAAGCATACTTGATGCACCACCAGTTGTCATATCACAACCTGTACCATTACCTAAAACACAAAATCCTGAACTGATCAATTTACAAATTATGGTTTATGATAAAGTGAGAAGGAAATGTGAAGAATATGTTGAGATAGCATCACCAGAATTTCACATGATAATGTCTATTGGTGAAAAACTAAATCAAAGTCAGATGTTGATTGAAGAAGAAAGGAAACAATTATTTGAGTGCGAGACAAAAATAAAGAAAAAAACTGAAATTTTGAAAAATAAAATTTCAGAAATTGATAAACTTATTGAACATGTTAAAAATATGCCCGAAATATCAGTTGACGATATATTATGTGGATCCACCATTGTTTATAATCAGTTAAATATTTTTTTTTTATTTTTATTTTTTTGTAAAGTAATAATTTCATCATATATATATATATTTTTAATATTAGATTATTTGATTTGGTGGCAGAGGAAAATGCAATTGAAGATGCAATTTACTATTTGGGGAGAACATTAAATTCTGAAAGAATAGATTTAAATACTTACATGAAGGTAAATCCAGTGATATTTCTTACTAAAACTTATAAATATAATATTTACATTACAATATTTTTTAAAAATATTATTAGAATATTCGAACTCTTGCAAAGGAGCAATTTATGAGGCGGGCATTGATTCTTAAAATTCGTAAACAAATAGGATTGGATCTTGTATAAATTCTTTGAATTAGTCAAATATTTAAATTTCAAGTACACACAGATAATGATGTACTGGACATTTGTATCAAGGTGGTTTTTTTTGATAATCAATAATAGATTAGTATTATCATTATTATTATTATTATTAATAGCTTTTTTTTTAATTTATTATTATGTATAAATAAATTTAAAGATCTTAATGAAACCATAATATATATAATATATTGTGATTTAATATGTATACTTATACATTCAGCAAGAATTTCATTAAACTTTTGAATTTAGAAAATTAATATTATTATTAAATTAATTTTATTTCTTGTGATCATGCATACATATATACATACACACACTCTTTGGACAAAAGTATCTGGACACCTATTTTTACTAATTATACAAAAACAACGATATCATTTGTTGTTTATTTTAATTATTCGAATTTACTACGAATGCAAATCTTTGTAATTTCGAGCGTAAATAATTTATAATAAAATTAAAAGATGCCAAAAAACGAAAATTGACCAAATTATGCGAGGAAATTTTCGGGCCTTCGTGAAAGTAGTGAGAGCGTAAAAAAACTCAAAATGTACAGTTCAAGGCACCATTCCTCGTTATAAAAGTCTAGAGAATGTAAAAGTGCACCAAGTAGTGTAGACTAAAATTTTAGACGAACTTGACCAAAACAAATTAAAAGCATTAGTAAAAAAAACAATCGCATGTCAGCAAATCGATCCAAAAAACTGAAGAAAAACAATTTGAAGTTTGCATGGTCTTGGGATTTTCTCCAGGGTTGCTGCTGTAAATCACGTGACAAGAAATCGATTGAAATAATGTTCAAGTAGGAGAAGATGGAGCGTTTCTCAATGGGGGAATCTAAAGTCTCGCTTTACAATTTTAGAAGCGATGGATCCGATCGTGTTTGACGTACAGTTGGTCAACGGTACAATATTGAAAACATTGTATCATCGGTCAAACCATGGTGGCTGTTTTTTCAAAAAGAGGCTGGGACCACTATTTAGAGTTGAAGGGAAGACGAATCGACTTGATTATATAGAAATTTTAGTAAATAATTTGTTAGAGGCAAATTTAATATTAATGGCAGGGGTTATTATTATACACAGCACGTGATGTTCAAAATTAGATCAAAGAAAAAAAAAGATTCACAATCACCTGATCTTATATCTTTGGAAAGGTGATTAAATAAGCGTACACAATGCTAACGAATTGAAAAGAAGAGTGGACAAGAATTCCATACGAAACCTACCATAAATGAATAGAAGGATTGGGGCATGCATTACTAGCAATCATCGTTTTCGTTGATTTTCTTTTTTTTTTAAAAATATCAATATTTACATGCATATTCACCAAAACCAGGCTACATAATGACACAAATTTTTATGTATAGCTATTACATGAGTTTTTGCATGATTAGTAAAAAAACAAGTGTCTGGGTAAGAAAGACTTTTTTTCTGATGTAGGAAACAAAGATCAAACTTGATGAATCTTGACTTACATTAGTTTATAATTTGTTTTTTTGATATAAAATAAGTTTTGTTACATAATTTGAATAATTCAAAACAAATAAAACAAATAAAACAAATAAAACAAATAAAACAAATAAAACAAATAAAACAAATAAACAAATAAAACAAATAAAACAAATAAAACGAGTAAAAATAAAACGAATGAAACGAAAAGAGATACATATGGCTGATTTATTTTTTAATATAATCAGTGAATGCTACTGAATTATTAGATATTTCATCAAATTTACCATCTTCTAAAAGTGCTTCTATTTTATCAGGAACAAATCCAGAAAGTTGATGCGCTATAATAGTTTCTGATTTACAACCTGAGAAAATTTGGGCATTTTTATTCAAACAATTTCCTCTTTCCCAATCATCACCACCAATTAAATGGCGTTTTTGGCCAATAGATTTTGTTAGAATACCTTCATCTATAAACGGTAGTGCGTTAAACTTTGATCCATTTTTTTTTGGAAAATATTTTTTGAGTGGTGAATCATCTGCTTGTAGTAGACCACGCAAAGGGCTAGGTAAAAGCTCGTTACACTCTGGTGGAATAATACAAATTAATTGTTCAAAAGGAGTCATTGGTGGATCATTATTATTATAATAATTATTATTACTATTCAACTGGTTTAAATTATAATTATCCAAAATTTCACGAATAGTAGGTGCCTTACGATGAGAATAAAAACATCTCCAACTTTGACAATTTCCTTGAAAATATTGAAAATTCCATTTTAACATGTTGATATAATCATTTACCTTTTCTACAACATTTGATTGTGATGATAATATTGTACTATTCCTATTATTTTGAAACACTACTACTTCTAAACATTCTAGAAATTTGTAGAGTCGTTCTAAATTTATACTACTATTGTTATTATTAATGGCAGCAGTAGTGATGTATCCGATAGATCCTTTATTGATTCTGAAATAATTATTGTAAGCTTGTAATAAAATTTTAATAGATGACAACGATGGATTTGACGTTATTAAAGGTGGTATATAATCATTTCCAATAAAATTTAAAATACACACAAAGTCATTAATTAGATTATTATTTCCTCTGTGTTTAATCGCATTCATAGTACCAACCATGCCAACGATGATATGATTTCGTAACTTATCAATGTTTACTTTATTATTATCATCTTGAGATTTTAATATTATTTGCAGGTCTGATTGATTTCTTAAAAGTGCATATAAAATAAAATCAGAATCATTTCCATAAACAACATGTGGTGTTTGGTGATGGTGTATACGATGTGTTTGTGAATCCAAATATTGAAAAATTTTATACTCGCCTTCGCCTGGTACTTGAGAGTCATTGAAAATTATTTGAAGTGAATTATAATCTTCTTGGTTTAAAAGTTGATATATATAATACCTAATGGCTTTATTTGCGACGACCATAAATTCAGTCCCGGGAGAAATTGCAACAGAGTTTTTTGGGACATGAAAAAATCTAGTAGCAGCAGTAGAAGAAGTAAATGAAGCTTCTAAATTTAAGATGTCAGTCATAATATGAATTTTGGGTATTAGTAATTTCCACTATCACGAAGAACATTCGATTTTTTGCTATTACTACTTACTGACACTAGTAGTAGTTTTATTATTATATCTTCTGAGTCTTTGTGTATTCATTTTAGCTCTTGGAGCAACACCATCCATTGCAATATATATTAGGGATTTTGGATTGAATGTTTCTTTGATGATACCATCTAATTCTTCAAATAATGTTGTTAACATTTTTTCCGGATTATCATCATCAGTTAAAGCAGCATAAAACAATGAATTAATATCTAAATATAAAAATTCAATCTGTTTTCCTTCATACGAATATAATTTATTTTTATCAATAGTTTCAAATACATCCGGACAGTTTGAAATAATCCATTTCAAAAAACGTGGAATTCCCATTTTTTTTGTGACTTTTATTATCGGCCGGCTATTTAAACATTTTACAAAAAAGATCGACGAACCATATGGGGTAATATTTTTTCCATATTAATATATTATTTCCAAATACAGCAACAAAAGAATTTTTAAAATTTATTATTTTAAAAAATGGGATTTTTAGATACAATTATCAACCAATTTCAAAATAATCCATTAAACTGGATACTTTTCTCTTTTTTAATTTATGTGATTTACTTATCGTTCACGCCAATCCCCTATCAATTACCAAAAGTAAAACATCCAGAAACTACAATATTCAAAGAGTATACACCAAAACAATTAAGAGAATTTGATGGAAGAAATTTACATACTAAAATTTTTTTAGCGGTTTCGGGAAATATTTATGATGTTAGTAAAGGAAGAAGTTTTTATGGGCCAGGTAGGTAACAAAAAATAAATAAATAAATAAATAAATATATATATAAAAGAATAAATTTACATAATGTAATAATATTATTTTTAGATGGACCATATGGGAATTTTGCAGGAAGAGATGCATCAAGAGGACTTGCAAAGAATTCCTTTGATCTTGATGTGTTAACACCGATTGATCAAGAGATTGATAAATTAGAAGATTTAAGTCATGAAGAATTAGACAGTCTTAATGAATGGCATGGTCACTTCAGATCAAAATATGAATTGGTTGGTAAATTAATAAATGAATGAATGGATTGATTAATTAGGAGATGGAGGGAAATTTTATTAATTAAAACACACAAACGCACGCATATATATATAATTTTTTTTTGTTAAACTTAATAATTTCTTTTCTTTTCTCGCTCAATTCTCACAACCTCAATCAATCTCTCTTCACTTCCTAATATCTTTTTATCATAATGAAGAAATAGTTGAACTATTACAAATATTATTGTTGTTTTTATCATTAACATTTTCACTATTTAAAAATATTGAATCTAACATTACTTCAGTTTTTATTCTTTTTGCATTTTGTAGACTATTTTTTTTTGAATTTGCTAAATGTTCATAAGCTTTAATATGACTTTTATCTTTATATGTTCTATTATAATTTACAAAATATTCGATTCTACAATATTGAACTGCTAATCCAAATAATAACAATGTTACGATAAGTGTTGCTAAATATGGATTTGAGATAAATATTTCTTGATTATTGGAAAATTCATTTCTATAATATTCATAATTATAATAATAATTATTATTGTTATTATAAGCTGCAGTAGTTCTACTCCCACTTCTTTTACTGCTACTGTTTCTGCTTCTACTATTATTATTGTTATTGTTATTATAAGGATGATTTCCCCAGCCCATTCCAGTCTTGAGATATAATTCTTTCTTTCTATGATCAACTAATATGTCATATGCCTTTGCAATTTTATGAAACTTATCCAATGATTCAGTTGAATTGTCTTTACTACTATCAGGATGATATTTCTTTACCAATTCAAAATATCTTTTTTTAATTTCAGCATCATTGGCGTTTTTTGGTAAATTAAAAATTTCAAAAGGTGTTAAATTACTATTTTTCTTTTTAAATATTGATTCATAATAATCGTCTTCTTTTGTTTCTTTTTTAAAAGATTCACTAGAATAATAATATTTTAATCTATTATTGTTGATGTTAACGTTGGGAATATTGTAATGTCCTTTATTCGTTGTTAAATTACAATGAAGCAATAATGATGATCTTTGAAACTGATTTGAACAAGTAGTAGTTGTTGTAATAATGTTTTTTTTTGTGAATTTTCTTTTATTTTTACAAAATCCATTTAAATAGGTATTAATAATAACATTAACGTTAGCGGTGGCAATTTCAAATTTTCTTGGAAAAATTTGATTCTTCATTTTATTCAAAAAAAAAATTTTATTTATTTATTTCACATGTTTATATAGCCACCCACCCCATTTCTCAAGTGAGCTTATTAGTATTAGGGTTCTTTGAGAAAATTTAGGGTAAATATACATATTAATATTACATTACTAGAAATTTTCCTCTAAACCCCTATTAATTAAAGAATTAGGTTTTTAATTTACTATCAACTATCATTGGTAAAGTAATATTTTCCACCTTCTCGATAATATGATAATACAACACACGTCAAAATGTGCCATTTATTTATTTTAAAAAATTATCCTAAACATTATTTTTAATAACCAGACTTAAGTCCTGGAAAAGCCCCAAGCTTTTTTTAAACATAAAATGTTTGTAATATTGCGAGGTAGCCTTTTGGTCAACCTCGATTATTTTACGTTTATGGCCGAGTTTGAGTTAACCTTTTAGCTATACTCGTTGATTCATTACAAGCTTTTATATACAATGCTCGTCCATTAATTTGTTTTACGAATTTATTTTACAATTATCCTGCTTGCCGCCTCCAGTTAGGAACCCTACTCTGCAAAAAAACATGTTATTTTTTTTTTTACAAAAGTTTAAAATTTGATTTATAAATCTTACTCAGAGGCAAGATTTATTCCTGATAGTAAAATAAATCTTTGTCAAATTAAAATTTTAATTTCTGAGGAACAATATAAGAATTTTTAATTCTTTAATTTACTATTACATGTATTATGGTCCTTTTCTAGACCCACATTTGCCGATCAATTAATTTCCCACCATGATCCACATGACCGATGGAAAAAGGACTATAAGTGAAAAACGGAAATTTTGAATTGTTGTGAGAAATTAATATTAATCAAAATGTTTCTAGAATCTTTTGCTTTGGTTTTGTCTTCAGTTATTATTTTATTATTATATTATTATCGAAGATTATTTTCCTACCCAAAAGAATTAGAAAATATTCCAACTATTCCAATCATTTTTTATACAAAAATGATATTTAGTGGTATTCCACATGATGAAATTCAACCTAAAGTTAGGAAATTTACAACCAAAGGAGTTTGTAAGGTAAAATTTAAACCAAAAAAATCCTAGCCTATTTATTATGTATATTTAATTAAATGTATTATTAATTTTCTAGTATTGGTTGTTTAACAATTGGATGGTGTCTATTACAAAATATGAATATGCAAAGGATTTCTTATCAGAACCAGGTAATTAATTACTTTTTGTATGCACCATATAGTAACAGACACTAATGTTAATAAAAAATGTAGCCGAAACGTTACCAAAATTGGGATATCCCGATGATCACCCAGTCAAAAGATTTTTTGGAGAAGGATTGGCTTTTTCTAATGGACAAGTAAGTAATTAATCATTTAAATATTTTTTTTATCAATTTATTTATTTATTTATTTTAAAATAAAAATAAAATAAATCAAAAGAAATGGGCTACACATAGAAAAATAGCAAATCCTGCATTTAACCGTGCACTTTCACCAGAAGCTGTCGGGAAAATAACAATTGATTTGATGAATTTACTTGATAAATTAGTTGATCAACCATTTGATATCTTTAAAGTAATGCAAAGAACCACCATACAGATTTTAGGAAAAATTGCATTTAGTTATGATTTCAAGGTATTTGAATCAATCAAATCGTAAAAAATTTTTATATGTATTAATAATAATAAATAATAATAATAGATTTATTTTTTTAGTGCCTAGAAAATTTAGAAACTCGACATGACTTGATTGAGACCTATATTAAACTTCTAAGGTCACTTCGTAACCCAATTGCTTTTATTTTACCATGGTTAAGTAAACTTCCAACAAAATCAAAGGCTGAATTTGAAAAAGATTTAGAAATTTTTAATAAAACAATGCTTGAAATTATTCAAAATAAAAAAGAAGGAATTAAAAAATCAAAGCTTCCTAATAATGATGATGATGATGATGAGAATTCAACATCAAAAAATGATTTATTATATGGAATGATTGAAGCTGCTGAAAAAGAAGGTTATGAAATCTCTTCTAATGATTTAAGAGATGAATTGGTCACTTTTTTCTTAGCTGGACATGACAGTAATTATATTTAATTTTTTGGGAATAATAATGATTAATTGATTAATTGGATAAATCTTTTTATTTAATAGCAACTTCACATGCTTTAAGTGTCGCTTTCTACTACATAGCTAAATATCCTGTAAAACTTTTTTTTTGTTTTTTGTTTTTAAAAAATCAAAAAATCAAAAAATCCATTTAATCATCAATTGTTAATCAATCAATCAATCAATCAATTAGGAGATACAAAATAAAGCTAGAGAAGAAGCATTTAGTGTCTTGGGTGTGAAAGGAAAAATTCCAACTTCAGAAGATTTAAAGGTAATTATTATTTATATTTGATTTATTTTATCTCAAATGAGATCATTTAGTATTTACCATTAAATATACACAAATATTTATATATAATACAGAAACTTAAATATATTAATGCAATAATCAAAGAATCTTTACGTCTTTATCCATCATTGGCCATAACTATTCCACGCCTTAACAACAAAGAATTGAGTTATGGCCAAATAATAATTCCAAAAAATACTCGCACAAATGTTAATATTTGGGCAATTCATCATGACCCAGAAAATTGGTCAGATCCTGATACATTTATTCCAGAAAGATTTTTATCAAATGAAAATGGTGATAATCTACATGCTTGGATGCCTTTCTCTTCTGGATCAAGAAATTGGTAATTGTGATTTTATTTTTTCCATTCCCATGTTTTTGTTTATTGATTTGAAAAAATAATGATTAACATATTATTATTTTCATTATCCAGTATCGGACAAAATTTCTCTTTAATGGAACAACGTACAATAATTTCAATGTTATGTAAGTAAAACAATTAGAAAATTAATTATTATCAATGAATTATTCAAACTAATGATATGTTTTCTAACCCCCCCCCCCCCTCTCAGTATTAAATTATGAAATTAGTTTACCACAAAAATCTCCTCATAAAGATAAATTAGTATTAACCGGTGGATCTCTCATTTCACCAAAAAATTTGGATTTGATATTTTCAAAAAGAAAATAATAGATTCATGCTGCAACTTACCTTCTTTCATATATCAAATTTTAAGCAAATTACTCCTACTTTTTTACATTATTAATAACTTATTTTTATAAATCATCATGTTAACAATTTCATCCATTTTATTATGTATTTCATTAAAATCAATATCTACTAATTAATTATTCTTTTGAAAATAAACAGTTTCTTTTAAAATGAAATTGAGACTGCACCTTCTTATTCATTATCTGGCACAACTTTTGTGTTATTTTATACCATGTCCTATTGGGGTTGTTGGCATTACCATTATTTATAATATTTATTTGATGTTGTTATCTCAAAACCTATATATGTTTAATACAATTAGACTGACAGCTTACTCTCTAGGTCCTTAGATGAGTTAGTCGTGCATCAATATTATAATTTTGCTGTATCCTTTTTATTTTTAACCCATCTGATATTATTCGTTTTGATGGCCCAAAACTCTTCTGAATATATACAAATTTAGTTACTTGCGGAAGAAATGACGAAATAATAAAAGACCATCATGTAATTCGTACTCGGTTTTCTTGAATAATTACAAAATTTTCAAAACAATCTACTAAAAAAATTAAAAATTGAATCATGCTTTCTTTTGATAATGAAAAGCTCTTCTACTACAATGAAGATACGGTATAATGTGTGAGTGCTTATCAAAAATAGCTATTCTTTTTTTTTGGCTGTTATTTTTTTGAATTTGCACATACGAACTGATTTTGTGTACTAATTCCAAGATAAAAAAATCTGTTTCACTGTTTAGTATATACACGGTGAACGGATAGTTTGGGCAATTAGAGAAAATTTTATTTTGAACTTCATCCGTTAAACCGAGATTTTCAATTATTTATATAATTAGAATTTGCATAATTTTAAAAATAAAGTTTTGTGTTGTCCATCAAAAAATAGAATATATATTTCTTGTAGAATAGTTACAATTTGAGCTCACCTACTTGACCAATTCTTTTGGATCAAGTTTATCCAAATAAAAAAATAAAAATTTAACCCGTATTTATTGAAAGTTGATTCATAAGTGAGTATGCGATAAAAAGATATTAAGCGTGATTGTTTGAGCTGATATGTCTCACTCGTATTTATCACATCACACGGACATCACAAAAAAATCCGCATCATTTTAATATTAATCAAACCGGGACTGGTGCATTAAGTAAACATGTTTTTAAAAGTTAATTTGCATATAAACTTAAGGTCTCGTCGAGTTTGCATTATTAATGAATTTAGGATGAAACTTTAAATTAGACAAAAAATTCCGTGGTTTTTATGAAAACTTTGAGCTTAGTAAAAACATTCAATCATGGATTACGTCATTAAGTAAGCCCACTTAAAATATCTTGAATTATATATGGTGAAAATTTGATCAAGTATAGACAACAAAACGTAAAGCTTTAAAATTTGCATTTTGTCAACTTTATTAAATGTTTTATATAATAAAATTACGGGGTGGTCGGATACTTTTTTAAACCCTTTTCACGAACTAATTTATGCCAACACCGTATTGTAGATATATGTAATCTGTTACGTTGAGCACATTTTATTAATGAAATATTATACATTACAATGAAGAAATTTGACCTTTATTACATGTAAAGATTCCGATTGAAAATGGACTATTTGCTAAATGTTTCCATTAATACCATACCGAACCTTTCGAAGCTTTTGTAATTTAGAGATTTTGATATCAAGTACAAATCTACTTAGTAAGGTAAAAGAGGTTTTATTTAAGAAAACGTTACTTTTTTAGTAAGGACTCTTTTCATTTGACGTTATACAACTTGTGTGGTCGGATATTTATGGTAGTAGTAGGTGAGTGTATGATCATTAATAACTGAAAGAATACGAAAAAATAGTTATTATATATAATAGAAAGATTATAACAATTGATAACCATTAAGTATTTTAATTAATTTTTTGAATAAAAAAAATTTCATTATTACCATAATCATTGTTATTGTCAATATAATTATACTAAGGGTTTCATTGGAATTATGTGAGAACTTTAAAAAGGTTTTCCTGAAGATCGGAATGAAACTTTTATTCGTAAATATAATCAAGAGCTGATTGGGGGACAAAATGATATCATTCTATCTTAACTAGAACTTAATGAAAGATTGAGTGAGTGATGATGATGATAGTTATGATGATGATGATGATGATGATGATGATGATGATGATGATGATGATAACATTAACAAAGTAATGATAATAAAAATGATAATAATAAAAAAGACAATATGATTTTGATGTTAATTTTGATGAGGAAAGGAATGAAAACTGTTGATGGTGTTGAAATAAATTGAAGCAAAAACAAAATCTGGACATTGTGTTCAACCTCTTGATATACAGTAAAAAATAAAACATATAAAGAAATTGTCAGACCAAAATCTGTAGATTCTAGTTCTGGTAATTATTCTATTCTATATCTTCTATCTTTATAATAATAATGTTATTATCTGCAGATTTAAGTAATTCGATCAGAAAAATAACCACAAAAGGAATGGACATCTTCTTAATAAAGCTAAGCATCAAAAATATTGATGAGAAAAGTATGATCATCAGTATAATTATAAAAGATATTTTTATTATTTAGCAATTAAATTTCTGAAATGAAGTTTATGTACTTGTTCTGCCACATTAATCCACATTAATAATAACAATAATAATAGTTGCACGCGCACATATAATTTTCAATCAAATTGATTTACCAAGATTCCAACCCATGTTTCTTAATTTCTTGACAACAGATGGGGTTATTGCTGCAGTTAAACCTAATCTAAGTGGAAGTAAAAGTTTATGAATACCATATGCTATAACCAAAGTACTTGTCCAAGAAGGCATTGTTGGTCTTGAAGAAGTATTACTAACAACCTCATTATTATTATTATTATTGTTGTTATTATTATTATTATTATTATTATTATTATTATTATTATTATTATTACTATTATTATTTTTTTTTTGATTATCTTCTTGTTTATTTCTTTTTAAAATAATCCAACCACCAAAATTTTCAATGCACCAATCTTCTATTCTTTTAACTCTTTCAGCTCCACCTGATTGAATCAATATAAATGTAGTGCCTAAATCAATTGTTGAAATAATAAAATAAACAGCCAAGGCTGATGTGCCATATCGTTTAGTTAATTCTTTAAATTTTGCTGTCATTGTTTTTTCACCATTTCCATTTAAATTTGACGAATTAAAAAATCTAAAGCTATTAAACAAAAAATATTTTTTATTTGGATTATTTGGATTAAATCTTTTATCATTATTGATATTTTTTATTATTAACGATTGTTCTTTAGAAAGTTGATTTATTATGATTTTTGTTTGAAAATTTAATTTGAAATATATTAGTTTGAAGGGCTTTGATTTAATAATTGAGGTAATATTTATTGGTGTTGTAATTGATAATATTGAAGGTGAAAAGGCTTGTAATGTTGATGATAATCGATTCATTTTTTCTATGAAAAAAAATTTTTAGATCGTATTTTTTATTACACAAAATAATCTTAACTGACTTGGTAAATTTTCAGATGCTCTTGATATTTAAAAGTCACGTGGCGTGAAGATTTAATAATAATGATATTTTCAGCATCGAATTTAAAATACTGGCGGTGCAAAGTTCATGCAATGATTCAATCACAAATTATTTCTGCATAGAAGCAGGGATTCTGAATAAAATAACATTTTTATTGAACTTTTGCAAACATTATGATTAAAAGTAAACAGTTATCTTTTTATTACAAATTATAAAAAAATTATATCAATTTGTAGTTTAGGTTTATAATAAAATTTTGACGTAAAGTTTTTTATAATTGCTCTAAAGATTATATAACGAATGACATGTATTAAAATCTTTATATGTGATGATCTGATCCTCAAGATATAATTCTTTTTTAACGTGATTTTGCTTTACTTTTTTCTAATAAAATTTAACTGAAGTTGGATGTAGTCAGATTATTGGTTTCCATAAAGGTGATAAGTCAAAAGTAAAAATTCTTTGCTTTTCTAGAACTATAATGGTTCTAAATATACAGAATTATAAATAGAAAGGCAATGTTTCAAACTTACCTCGAGGCGGATAGGAAATGAAAACAACCATGAGCCAGCTGAAGTAAAAACCAAATTCGATCAGAAAACGGGCTTGCAAGCTTTTATTCACAACCAAAAAAGAAGCCTTCTAAACCTCTAATTAATAAAAATCGTTTGAGTGCAATAAAAAAAAAAAAAGGAAAATAGGAACATGGGAAAATTTTAATACGGAGTGATGAAAGTAAATTCGCCTCGTTTAGAAATAATGGTCCAGGTCGTATTTAGGTGACACTTGTACTTGGAGCAAGGTTTAATATTGACTTAAATGCGGAAGTGGTAATGTAATGTTTTGGTACTGCTTCCTGGAAAAATGAATAATCACGATTTACGTTGAAATATTCCAACCTTATCTCTTAATCTCTAATAATCGAGATAATCTGAATTCGATTGAACACTGTAGAGACTCGTTTTCGAAAAACCTAATTGAGCAAAAAATTTGAAGAATTAGAAGAGATTTGGATATTTTAAATTTTGTTTTTTGATTTTTCAATGACATGAATGTATAAATTCGTAGCGAACATGTCAGAGATAGTTTAACCGGAGACCGCTCAAAGAGTAGGTTTTAAGTTAAAGAAACAGTTTGTATTTGATATTTTCTCCACGAGGGAATAGAGTCAGTATATAACCTGAAGAAAGTTCTGAAGGTATATTACATATGTATAAAAATTACTCAACATCTATGCAAATGCATGGTAGTTTGAACGTAATTTATATTTTTAATCGAAGCATGAAATTTTATACGCATAATACCCAAAACCATTAAATATAAATTTTTGTGCACCAAAATATTTTTATTCTTTACAATAAATAACAAATAATTTTAAATAACTAATAAATATTGATCTAAAATCAACAGCTAAAATAACAAAACAATTAGAATATGTAAATTTCTTTCTTCCTTTAGTATCCCAAGACTTCTTTAATTAAGACAACATGGACACGTTTTGTTGGACTGAAAGGATTTGCAGACCTAATCGAGACATAATTAGAAATTTGACTGCCAGGAACTCCATAAGCTAATCTCGCACGTGCTGATTCAAGTTCAAAAGAGTATTTTGTTACACGTTCTTCTGCTTCATTAGCATCTTTTACGATTTTATTTGTACCACTTACAATCACAAGAGTTTTGGCTGTATCTACCCATGCTGCAACACGGCTACCGCTTGCATCAACCCCAATCTGTTTTAAAATGATAACAATAATAATATATGAATAATAATTTCCCATAATAATGATCATTCATATAAATATACTTACAATTACACCATCTTCAGTAATAGCAGAAGCAGAAGACAAATAATAATCAACGTTGTAACCTTTGAGTCTACGTATTTCACTTTGCTTTGCAAAATCTTTTTCAGCCAAAATTTCTGCATGAATGTTAACCCATTCTTTTGCTGTTTTCAAATATTCGATAAATCCAATTTCTTCCAATGTGGTGGAATGTCCGTTATTAACCGAGGCATTTGCAGGAATCAATTTTTTCAAAAATTCATATGCTTCTTCACTTGTATTCAACACAGTAACTTGATGACCTTTGGTTTCTAATGCCCCCTTGGTTTTTGCAATTGTTTCTTCGGTTGCTAATTTTCCATATTTATTCGTATCGACTTTTACTTCGCCAGACGAAAGTTTGGGATCGCTCTTAAGCAATGAACTGGCAGTTTGATCGGTATGATTGTTTACAATTGTCATTTTTTCAGTTTTAATTTGAATTGGATGTAATTAGATGAAAATTTATATCAATTCTTTTTGTTTTATTGTTATTTAATTTGTTGTTGTTGTTATTTTAATTAAAAAACTTTTTTTAAAAATCGAAGAAGACATCGTTTATATATAAATTTTTTTTCTAATGAAAGATGCATTAGTAATGATTAGGGATAAAATTTTTATTATAAATCAACGTAGATCTCGATTTCTAATTATTGTGATACTTACAAATATGTTAAATTATTATATAGTATATAATCAAATAAAATCAATTAGTAAGTATTTCGTACCACATTGATGTGCAGATCAAACGGGTTTTAATAATAAATTAGATTTCTTTAAATTAACAAGTCACTTAGTCAGCATAATGGAAATTCTATTTTGATCAACATTTGCTGTCATTACAACTTTTTTTGTGTTTTTCTTTTTGCATGATGTACAAATATATGTATTTGAATTTATTATTTAAAATTTGGATCTTACATATCCTTTGATACATAATAGTAAAGCTTCATATTGAAGAAATAAAATATACATACTTGTATATACGGTTCACACTCTCTATAACGAAATCTCTATAACAATTTCACTTTTTTTTTATAATCATAATTGATTTCTCCTTATAATCTTAGTAAACGCAAATAAAAAATTACATATAAAGATAGAAGGTTCGTTATAGAGAGTGTGAACTGTAGTAAGCGGGAAACTATTGATAAGAATCCCATAAATTAAATAACATCTTTATATAGACAAAGTGAACATTGGTATTTCAGGGATCAAATTTAGTCATCACGAATGTAATGTGATCATGATATTTATAGTAATAGGATTATCACCAGATAAAAATAGTCTTATTTACATCAGATACCCAAGAATTATAGTACAATTAGAAGCATTTTGAAGGCGAGAAAATTGCACCCTATATTTTCAAATGATACTCGGACACTGGAAGCAAGCTTATCTAAGAAAAGAAAGAATTACCTATGAAATTTAACAAGAAGAAAAAAAAATAATAAACGTTAAGAAAAGAAAGCAGAATAAAGGTGTGCTACTCATCCATTGCTTTGATTCTTTTTCAATTCTTTTCTACTTGGCACAAGGAATATTTGGATGGTCAAATAACTTTTTTTCTTCAAATTCGCGTAATAGAACAAAAATATAAAATAAATTTTTGTAAGCAAGCCAACCCTATTTTTGGTAATAATAATTTTTTTTTTTGTTTGCTATGATCAACGTTACACTCAAAAAAAAAACTAATTTTATTTTGACACGAATAAACACGTATATATATATATATAAATTTATTGAATAGCTTTGAAATGAACAGTCCTACTAAAAAATTTTTTTGGTATGTCTGAACTCAGTTACTGTTTTATTCGTTAACTGTTAAGTAAACTTGACGTTTACTGAAAATTTTGAAATATTTAGATTCCTACTTTGAAGAAACACCTCCTATTTCATGGTCGTTTTCTGGTTTTCTGCTGGCAGTGAAGGCTTTCTGGTCTACCATTAATCTATCTGATGATTTACTCACGATCATGAAGAAGAGATATATAGCGTTACTAAAAAATATTCAAGATAAAGATAAAGATGAAGAGCGACGAAACATGGCAATTTTTCTCATACAACAGGTCATTACTGTTTCTATTCTTTTTTTACCTGACCAGGGGTTTGCACAGCCTTAGGGGGGTGTCGTTCCTCCTCAAGGTATGGGTGTCGTTCCTTGTCGCGGCTTCTGTTGTAGCACAGCTCAGGGAGGGTGTCGTTCCTCGTGCAACATACGTTCAGGTTTTTTTTCTTTATGACTCAAAACATAAGCTTTTATATTTTTTTTTCATCTTAGGAAAATTCGCCTTCGGTGAAGGAGCTCATGGAATTAGTTAAACTTGATGAAAAATTATCACTCAAAAAGGTAGGTATTGTGATTTTAATGGTTGCAGTATTTTAAATTGTCTATTCTTAAAGACGGCATCCAAGTGCAAAAGTCAAATTACAACATTGAATGTGTTTGATGCAGCATACAAACAACAAACCAATGGTCTTCTCGATGAACTTGATGTGGAACCAGTTAAAAAGTTACATATTATGACTGAAAGCATTAATAAAAAGAATGATGATGAAGGTATAGTAGTTAATGAATATTTTACAGAACATTTTTCTCATTTTAATAATAATAATTTTTATGAAGAGGATGACGACTATGCTGATGAAAACAATTATAAAATTGGAAGGTTTCAATACAATAGATGATAATGACAAGGTATATACAGTAATTCTCTCCTGAAATATATCCAATTATTTGAGATTCTAACTTTTTCTACAAAAAGGAAAATGATAGAGCAATCAATGAAATGAAACAGAAGTTTAAATCAAATTATCTAAAGATGTGTTCTGATAAGAAATGGAAATTACCTTCAAATAAGTATGTAGAAGACATATTGTATGAATACGCTAAGGATTTACCATATGAAAGGTGGGTGTCTGATTATTTGAGATATGTTTCATAGAGTTGTTAGCATGACCACAATCTGATATGCAATTGTATTCTACCAGTTTAATTCATTGTTTCATCATTTATACTGGAAATAAGACAATTATGGATCTTTTCAGTGAAGATGATCAAAAACATATAAGAATAAAAGAGGGAAATTTATTAAACTCAAGAATGAAATATTTAATATCCAGTTGGATTGATTTGAAAGAATACAATTATAAAGAAGATGAAATACCTTATAATTTTCAATTAATTTTGCAAGGCACTTGAGATGGATTTGGGAGATTAATTTTTGAGGAAAAGTGCTATAATATTGTTACCAGAATTAGATGATGACAAAGATAATTTGGCTGAATCCTTTAATTTCAGGTCAAATTAAATTTTATTTCTATTTTTTTTTTTTTATTTTTATTATTATTAATCTATTCTTATTTTCATTAATTCTATTTATTTATTAATAGAATTCGTGTCTATTTAATTTTTATTAATCAATTCGTAGCACATTCATATTTATTTAACTTTATTTAGTAGAGATTAATGACGATTATCCCAGACTGGGCGGAATCGCCCAATTCGGGCTAATTGGTGAATTTGCCATAACATAAAGGAAAAATCTTCAAATGATAGTTATTATATTGAAACAAAACAAAGTTTTATTTTCAAAATTGATGAAAATAAACTAAATAATTCAATATTAAGTAGAGTTAAATCTTTCAAACATTCAATATTTCATCATGAATAATTTGAATCTTAAAAATGACAGTAATGTTCATTTGATAGAGGAATTTGAATTTTATAAAATAACAAAAAAAAATTAATGATTTATATAACTTAGGATAATATATTTTTTTTCCTATTATAATACTACAATACAATCTAGTTATAAAATAATAAAATTTTTTTTACCATAATTTCTACATTTGTAAATCCATTGATTGGGAACTGAAATTCGAGCCCTGAAATTCCTAGTAATACCAATGTTCACTTTGTCTGGTTTTGTTGCAGCATGCCCCATATAAATAATACCACTTTTTTTGATCCATTAATTAACTGAACTCACACTATTCATAAAATTATAAAAAAAAACTCCAATTTTGCTATCTCATATTAAAAATGTCTTCTGTAAAAAAGATCAATCTCTGATACTGAAAATTTACCATCAAAAAAATTCAAAAAATCAATAAATCCACTAAAAAGACCTAATCCTAACACTGAAAACCCACCATCTTTGAAAAAACA